TCTATGGAAAGCCCATAAGGAATTCGTCCAGGGATATGTTAAAGGAGTCCAGGGCTGCTTAGGGTTTAATAAGCAGCAGATTAAGGGTTTCCTAGTTGTAAACCCTAATAGCCTACATGTATATAAAGGACTCTTAAGCCCCAAAAACGTGGTGAACTATTCCTTTAGGGTTTCCAGCCGTTTTTGGTGCCTCCTCTCTCCTCCCTCTTCATCCAAGTTGCTTAGTGGTGTTTGTGACTCCATTAGAGGTGCAACACTTGAGGCACTAAGCTTTCTGAAGCCAATCAAAGCAAGGATTGATTGTTATTGCTATATAACAATCAAAAGGTAATTACTAAACCCTTATTTCAGTTCTTATTTGATAGATCTAGGGTTTATGGCTTTGGATATTCAATTGCATGTTCATTAGACAAACTAGATCCAAAAGCTATTAGGGTTTGCATGTACACCATAGGAATGATGTATTGCTCGAAACCCATCAGTGATATCAGAGACTAGGGCTGTTTGTTCGTGAATTTGATGCTTGTTTGATCGATTTTTGCATGAAAAACGAAGTTTTTTTTGCCTTATGAATCTCCTACTCGGCGAGTCAGTGGATGAACTCGCGAGTTTAGTCCGACTCGGCGAGTCCAGTCCCTAACTCGGCGAGTCCATGATCTGGCATGGAGCGTTTTTTTGGCGATTTTGTTGCCGTTTTGGCTTGGGATACTTACCATAAACGTTTTTAATTCATAAATCCGATTTTATTGATATTGGTGATTATCCTTGCCAAAATAAAGATAATTGACAAAATTTAGATAATCTTTTGTTTTATTAGATAAAGATTGATTATTTGTAATTTAGATTTGAATTATCTTGTGAAAAAGTTTCAATTTTCCCTTTAGGTTTATAGTTTAAATTTGAACTTAAAAGTTTTTGTTTTGAAATTAAATATTTAAGCCCTAATGTTTGAAGGTTTCAAAACTTGCCCTAAAGTTTGGAATTTAAATTTTGATTAAAAGTTTATTTTGAATATTTAAATTCTAAACTCTAATGTTTTGAAATGTTTCAAAACTTGCCCTCAAGTTTTGGAATTTAAAAATTAATTAAAAGTTTAATTTGAAATGTTAAATTCTAAAACCCTCGTATTTTGAAAAGTTCAAATTACACCCTTATGGTTTTATTCAATTAATTAAGGTGTATAATTAAAGAGATTTAATAAACCCATATAGTTTTGGTTTACATTTAATTAAATTAAAAGTATAATTTATTAAATTAGACCACCTAGTATTTTAAAATTTAAAATACACCCTATACTATGTATATATGACATTAAAAGTCTAATATTATATATGTATAAGTAAACAGTCAGTCTTACCGTTAGTAGGCCTCATTCACGAAGCTGGTCTATAAGGGGTGTTTAAGGAAATTGCCTATAAAATGGCGATTGAATGGGTATCCACTCTTACCCACCGCACTCTTGACTAGTGGAGGGTCGTTAGCCGAACGGGTAGGATAGGACGAAACCTTCCATTATAAGTATAATGAAGTAAAAGTAACTACATGCTTTTACAAATTCCCAAATCATTGTTACTTTAGGAAAATGTGGAATTGTATGCTAATCCATGGAATTACACTTTGTACCCTTGTCGTGGGAGCGTGTGTGGTTAACGACACACTAATTTGGGTTTGACATTGGTGGCGATGGCTCGATGATCAATGGAGCGTGTGTGGCTAACCGGCACATTGATTAGGTGATAGTAGCATTTGGTGCACCACGTGATTCGTATGGTTATTCACACCTTGTTTGTGATCCTCGGCATCCCAGTCGCAAACTTGAAGGGCATAATCGAGATTAAACATGCCATTGAAAAGTTCAATGAATCTCAAAAGATCTAGGAGTTTCAATTCATTTAAAACTTAAACTTCATTTTTGTTTTTCATGGTGGGATTGGTAAATCGTCATTTACCTACCTTCAAATATTCTGCAACTAGATTACGGCATCCTCTTCTAGGTTGTAGAATGTTGTGTTGGATCCTAGCCTTGATGTTTCATTTGGGTGTTACATCAAGGATCTTTATCAACTTACTTGAATTTTCTCCCGTTTTGTAGATGTCTAAATCTTACAATGGTCTTCCCAAGTCCCTTGGAACAAGCTTTCCAATGAAGATGACGTTCCACGATACGATCAAGGAAATGAGAGTCATGCTTCACTTCCTCCACCTCCTCCAATTATTCTCCCTAACCCACAAGTTCAAAGGCTTGAAAAGTTCAAGCTCACTCAAGCCCTTTTGGCAAGTAAACACGAAGATGGAAAACTGTGTGTGCACACATCTTAGAGATGAAGTCACACATTGATAGGTTAAGGATGATGGGTGTCGATATCTCTCAGAAATGTTGGCTGTTGACTGGTTCTTCAGTCACTTCCTGAATCATATAGTGAGTTCGTTAGAGAGTACTATATGATGGACCATGACGTGACCCTCATTGATTTGACCTATTTGCTTATAGCTGCTGAATCAGAAATGATTTGGCGTGCTGATCAGCAAATTTGTCTGGCAAATCAAACTCCCAAACTTCAATGGACATTGAAAATGGTGACATTGGAAATCCAGAAAAGGTAAATTCTGAGATAGTTTCCTTGTGCCATTCCAAAAGTCCATCTGCTTCTACTGCCAAGAGAAGGGGCATTGGAGACGAAGCTGCCCTGTTACCTGAGAGATCTAAGAGATGGGAGAGTCAAGACGTATGGCTTACTTCAGGTAAAATCTATAACTAACTCTATAAGTTCCTATTCTTTGATTCTTAATACATGATGTGATAAGATTACATTTTGATGTTTTTGCAGGATCGAAGAAAAGAGAGGAAGCTTAAGGAAGAAGCGTGTTGAATCTGATCATGAAGAAATGGATTTCGATCGCATGGACTCGAGAATCAGATTTTTGAGCTGCTACTCTAGAGTTAGGATAGATTGATAAGAAATATGAAATAGCATAGTTTTTCAGTTGAATTGCATTGTAAGGACAAATTTTTCCGCAATAAAATAAATTTTGATTTTGTCTTATTTATTTATCCTTGCAATGGCATGTATGAAAAATTGATGTTTGAATGTTTCTATATTAGCAATAATGGATTTGATTCTTAATTATGTTTTTTGGAAATGTCGAGAATTTCCAAATAGGGAGAGTTCTCATCGCCCAAGTTTCAATTGGACAGAAACTTGGAATCATGCAACCTGGTTGCGTGATGAATGAGAAACTTCATATTTGGAAATTAGACTAATTCTTTGACAAAGTGTCAAGTGAAGGACTAGGAGATCGAGTACACTAGGTTGTGCGTTGATCAAGTCCACCAACAAGAGTGATAAAGATATTCGTCATGATTTACTAAAGTTTAGTAAATATGGTTATACTTATAAGATTAAGTATAATTCTGAGTTGATTGAAAGAGTTTCAATCAATAGCAGAACGAATAAGAAGAATCAAGTAGGCAGAAAGATAAAAGTTTCTCTATTCTAAGAAGAAGGGAGAGTACTTTTATTGTGTTTTTATGATAGGTCTTAATGATTAAGAACCATATCTCAATTGATCCTCTAAGTGAGTCTTAGTGCATTTGTATGTCTAAGAAGAGGAATCGAGAATTGTAGAAATGGTTAAATCAGAAGTCAATCATACTTCGTTCCAATATCAAGTCTTAGAGTCTATTCAAGATTGTGAATTGAGTGACAAGTCTTAAGTAGGTTTATAACACTCAACAAATGTGGAATTGGAAAAAGTTTTCTTATTCTTGCACATTTGAAATTGGTAAGTTGTGATGTCTTGGATAAGACAAAGACCAACTAGAACCAATTATGTGAAGTGTTTAGTCTTGAAAAAACTACACTAACTCTTGAATATTTTGTTTGTCAAGGAATGTTTCTTGACAAGAGAATCTTATATGTCAAGGAGTCAGTGGGAGTCTTAATGGTCTTGAAAGTTTCAAGAACAAATCAAGAGTTAAACCTATTGATATCACTAGCACACGACTTGAGGTTTAAACCTATCGTGTTTGACATTATTTTTTTCTGTGCCATTCCAATTAAGTTAAATATGCAGTGAGTTCTATGAGTTCTCATTGAATGCATAAAGACAAAGCACCTTGATCAATGGAAAGTACATTGATATGTAAGGGTAAACCACTTGGAAGACATGGTGGGCACTCGTGTTACCATGAGGCAAGAAATCAGATTGAACAAGTTCAGTCCATATGGTTTTGGATTTGTCCACAAACTTGCGTTTTGACAAATTCACATGGATAGGAACACATACATCATAAAATCTAAGTGTCATAAGGTTTCCCTCCTTCATGAAAATGATTGTGAGGAAATGCTTTCACTAAGAGAGATTTAAGAAGATAGCAATTGTGAAAATTGTATTCTCAAATTCGATTATGATTACGGCATCCCTTTTCATAGTTCGAATTGTGAGATTTGGCAATTGGTCTGAACATTTGGGACTTAGTAACATAAGTTCTGAATTGTTTAGACACACATGTGAGCTATCTAAGGAAAAGTGTATGAGCTTAAAAGCTTAGATAAAGGCTTATCAAAGCATTGGTATTAGAAATATGAACTTAAGGAATTCAATAAGCATTGTTTTCTGGAAGTTCAATTGTTTTCTGAATACATGTCAAAGCTAGTGGGAGCATAAGTGTTATGCTGGTAAGAAATAATCATCATGTTAGTGGGAGCATGATTATTATTGTAAGTATTGCAAGTTAGCAATATAATTAT